ATAACAAGTTACTTCCCTTTTCTTTGAAGACTGGAGGACCATCTTCAATTACGAGTAATCAAATTGTTCTTAACACCAAAAGTTGACACATTAAGACCCGCTTCTATGTTTTGACAGTATGAAACAAATCTGAAGATTGCGCATTCTGTTAGATGCAGAAGATGGAACTGTCATCAGACCTATTTACTCTAAGTCCATGTTTTTAGCTACAGAAAATGGAACTGTTAGCAATAAGAGAGGCATCCAGAATTTGTTTTCCTTCAACAAAGGCACTATGATTAATAGAAATAGTCTCGTCCAACACCTTGCTCAACTTAGCACTTCAGAAATAATCCTATAAACACTGGTAGTCCTGCTGACAGAATGGACATCAGAGACCTTAATTTGAATGATCTTATTTTACCTATCTTACCCAGAGTCAGAATCCTGTGCTAACCCAATGCCTTAGTTGCTTATTTTTCATTCTTATGTAATCTAGCAGCTCTAAACCCCCCCCCAACCCCCCCCCCCCCCCCTCCTCCTCCTCCTCCTCATCCTCCTCCTCACAACTTGTAGAGTTCTTTATTTCTTCCTCTCCCCATGGCTTTGGAAAGAGGAATCAAACTGGAGAAATTGAAAGATTTCTAAGGATCATTCCCTACCTCTTCTGTCTCTAGGGCATCTTTTGGGTTAAGACTTATGGCTTCTAGAAGGTAAGTCTAGAGCCCCTCCAAAGCGCTTTGCTATCTTTTCTCCTACCAAATCCCCCAATAGCAAAAGTCACAAACCCCTCAAGATGATGAGCAATAGTCGGAGTCACACGGAGAATATCAAATAGCTAAGATCATGGCTTCCAAGCCACATCATAATGCAAAAAAGAAAGGTGATTATGAGCTTTATAGCACATCAAGCAAACCCTTGGAGAGAAAGCAAAATTAGGTCTATGAGTTTGAAACAATCATTAATGTTCAGCCTGTCCAAGATGGCAGTCCAAACAAAAACCTTCACTTTAGAGGGAGCTAGAACCTTCTAAGAGGTTGCATTAAAAACATGACTCTGAAAGGAAGGGCTAGGGTTCAGGAAAGCAAAGAAAAACTTGCAAACAAATATACCAAAACAGTCCCAGTATAAGACCAACCAAACTCATTGAAAAACAGCGGAATCAAGAAGTTGAATAAAACTGCATCAAGAATTTTTTTAAAAAATAAATTTCATATCAAGAACTTCATGACCATAAAGTGCATACTTGAGGCGCGACAACCATCTAAGGGAACATCAACCCCAATTATAGGCAACCAAAGCAGCCAACAATCTAACACTCTCCTCCTTTACATTGACCCCCTACCAAAACCACTCTTACTAAGAATGACACACAAACCATGAATGTTTTTGAAAAGTTACAGGATGTTGAAGACATTATAGAACTTTTGGTGACCATAAGAAAGGAAATCTAAAGATGAGAAACTTCTACTCTTTCACCGCCAACACAAATAGCTTCAAACACACCTCTGTCTTTACCACAATAAAGCATGACATAAGACATCTACCACAAGAGTGAAGAGAAATGGGAAAAGGGGTTCCCCTGTCTCAAATCATACTGACTCCTAAATCATTCCCTAGGCTTACCATTCACCATTGTTGAAAAATCTACAAAGAAAAGGCAACTAGAAATCAACCTTTGCCACCTCACACCTTAAACAGTCCAATCCTCCACTAACCGAGGCATAAGATCTAGCATAGCCCTCACAAGCGGCAGCAATCAATAGTACATTAAACATAACTCAATTCTTCTATTAGGGCTTTAAGGGGGAAGGAGTACAAGAATTGCTTAGGGAAAGTACGTCCAACAACTAATGGAAAAGCTTACCCTCACTAACACGCTGCTGATATGACAAATAGAGAAGTTACACTAATGGTGTCCATCATTGAACGAAGAAACAAAAGTAGCCAATTCCCTTTCTTTCATTTGGTGATATTTTATATAAGGGAAAGGTTGTTTTTACTTTGAAGCGTGATCTTTCTTGATTTCAGAATGGAAGAGGTTATTTGGAAAAATAGGTTGTTTTTAAGGTAACTAGAAGGCTTTCCACTCCAACACCTCTTGAAAAAAAAATCAATTCACTCGATTCTGATTTCTCTCACCGTCTTGCCATTGCCCAACTCAACCCCAAGAAACTACAAGCGAAATACCATAGGTTGTGAGCAAAAGGGTACCAAAGAAGAATGTGATTGCCATCCTTCTATTGAATAGCCTTTGAAGATTAAAAAAAATGAAAGAGTATCTTAACCTTAAAAAATAACTCTCAAGGAAATCTAGCCCCCTCACCCGCTCTCAATCAGATGAAGCACCATAGAGCTCCACGCACCTATTCTAGTTGGTTTCCGCATTCTCACACCATATAACTTCTTCACTTCTC